AGACAGAGTGGAACAAAGAGAGCGCATGTGCTCGGACAGGCACTTTGAGAACTTTATAGCAAACATTTATACGTTTCAATCATGTTAAGCAAGCAAGTCATGTGAAAATGTTGCTGTAATACCAAAACACGGTTAGTTTTTTTTCTCCTCATTTGAAAACAGCAGATGCCTCTTACACTGTGTCAATATTTCAAGATACACTAATGTAGCCTATGTTGAAGTTGTTTTATCCACTTTTGAGGTAACAAACAAAATGTATACTGCACCATTCAAATGTTTTCAACAATATAAAACCAGTTTTGATGCAGGTATATGAACAAAATAATTCTATTAAGATGCTACTACTCTACAACTTCATAGGGACATTTAGCGGCTCAGTGGAGTGTCCCAGAAGGTGTTAGATAAATGTTAGATGGGTCCCGAATGACGAAGTTACAATAAAATTAATATCCGGAATAGATTTGGGAAAAATAATCGATTCTTTAATGCAATTCTCTTTTGAAAGATTCTGAATCAATTCACAGAACGTTATCAAATCAGATTTTTATATAAGCTCTGCATTTCCATTACTGTAAAATAAACTCATGCGCAACTGGAGACATAAAGTAGGATACTTTGATAGAGCCTGACTTGGATGAGTAAAAATCACAGTATATCACAAATGCAAACATGTTTGCAGAGACAAATTAGACACAATTTTCTTGAATATGGAAAAGATAAACAGAATATGGAAGAACCATGACAAACTGCCAACAGGCTAAACAAGTAAAGTTCAGAGTTAGGCTAAATGTTTAAAAGTTTACTGAATGATTACCGTAAAAACTTAAAAACTTGAAAAATGAAAGTAAAGCTATTTTATCTAAATATCTGTAAGAAGCTTCAAATGTTCACATTAACACTAAAACAGCTATAACTAGTATAAAAACCAGGATAAGTCAAGGTACAGCAGCATTAGCTTGGTGTTAACGTAACACTGAAAACCTCATTAAAGCACTAATGAAAGTCAGCAATAGCAATTCAATCAAGCTAAAACAATTGTTAACGACAAAACAAAGAAAAAATCTTGATGTCGGCTATAGAAATAAAAAATCGCCTTATAATTGCATCTCGGCACTGTGAATCAATTCGTGGTGATCAAATCTCAAGACGGATTAATCATAAACAGACACTATATATATATATATATATATATATATATATATATATATATATATATATATATATATATATATATATATATATATATCTCATTTATCATTTATTAACTTCCCACAGAGAGATAGAAAGAGAACAAACGAACTGGCTTGTACAACTGGCCTCTGCCTAAAAAGTCAACTACCACTTCAATACAGGAAGTGGTTTTCCTGACAGAGTTTCACCAGTCGAGTCAGATGCTGAAGCACTCTTTACTTTAATTCATGCCGTAAATTTGACAATCTGATAAAATACAAACAGGGTTTGCACAACAAACCCTCCTCTTCTCACCACATCCATCTGCTGACGACTCTCATGATTAAGTTATAAAAGCAGAGGCGTCCTTTGAGGAAAAGCAGACAAGATATGTAATTACTCCTCCTCCTCATGAGGGTAAGTGTTAGCAAGGAATAACACATTAACACAGAGAGCACTTCTCTACACCTGCAGTCACTAATGTACAAACATAAAGCTCTGACTAAGACGGCCTGTCTTTATAGGATGGATGGATGAGAGAGAAACAGAGAGAGAAAGAGTGAGGGAGGGGGAGGGAGAAAGAAGCAGGAAGAGTGAGAAACAGAAAGAGAAGCAGAGATTCTGTGGAAGAACGAGCTGTGATTGAGCAAGACACACAGAGCTGGTTTTGCCACTTTCTGAACCCTGAGAAGGAGAAACGGAGAGAGAGAGAGAGAGAACTGAAGGAGGAAAAAGTGAAGATAAAGTAAAGATAAAATCTATACCCAACCAGAAATTTCAGTTTCTACTGATCTGAGATGCTAAAACAAACCGCATAAGGAAAAAAAACAAAGGAAAAAAAAGGGTATAGGTGTGTGTGGCGTTTGTGCCCTACAGGAGAAACCTGTCTGAAGACTCTGGCCTTTAGAACTTCCCACACGGCTCAGGGCAAGTACAGGCCTGTTCTGTACCGTACCATGAAAAATACAACTACTGGCTATGATCTGTGCAAGGTTTCCTCTTCTTTCAATGAAATCTAAAAGACGAAAATACGAAATTTGCCAGGTTTCCACTTCATCAAAAGAACAGTTTTGTAATTTTCAATGCAGACTTTATTAAAATTGTTGTTAGTCATCACCTGTAACTTTGTAATAAATGAGAAAAAAAAGGAGCATCTTCACTAGTGGTCTCAGACCTTTGGACCCCACTGTATGTAGGTTATACTAGAAAAGAAAAATCTAAAACTATCTACCTGGTTTTATTGACTTCATTTTGCATTTCTGCAATTCTGTTATTTTGGCTACGTCCAATCGGGAAGCAGAAAACTGTTCAAAACATGTTCTTAATAAACAAACAATATTGCTTAACAGTTTGGAATGATGTTTCAAAAGTCTGGAATCTGTTTTTAATTACATTGAAAAATCTGACTGCAGACAAGTGTACAAATGCTCATTACAGGTTTCAGACCTTTATAAGGAAGCTATAAAAAGAAAATAAATGTTAGCTGTGCTAGCTCTCTCCAGAATGTTGAAGATTCCTAGAAAGCTATACTGTCAGTAATTAACATAAAATTAATATCCAGAAGGCCTCACATTTCAAAGTAGGAAACAAAACACATAATTTATCATAAAAGGTTTGTAAACTGTTAATTACAGCATATTATTGATCAATTTATAGCTTTCTGCTGACATTTTGAATAAAACATCTTAGGATGTTTAGTTTATAACATTTAAATCTACATTATACTTTAGATATAGAGCTATTTTTGCATATCAAACAAAGATTATTACAACAACTGATTCCATATTTTTGAATAATAGTATACATTAAGATACACATAATTGTAGTGCAAAGTTCTGTTTTTCAAAAGAGAGTTTTTTTTTCTTATGCAAGCATAAATAACTGCCCCCATGGATTACATTTAAGCTAAATCTATCAGTGATGTGCTATGTATGATTACAAATGAAGAGAAACAATTTTAATAAGAACCGTCCCTTTAACCTTCATTAAGCCAAGAAAAAGGTTTATTCAGCTACTGTGAAACACATTGATTTATTCTGAGCATGACTGATAAGATTCTGTGTGAGAACAGGTGCAAGTGACACGGTGTGAACTATTCAGCATGAGTGAAAAACCTCTGTTGTGCGTGTGTCTCAGCAGGGGGACAGTGTGTGCTATCTAATGGTCACCCACAGCTCACGTGAGCTCCCTGTTCCCTCGATTCAGTTATGAGTTATAAACAAGCGTATGTAAAAAGGTCACAGCCCTTCTTTCTCTTTTCAGCTCTTTCTACTTGAAAACACCCAAAAACCACAAATAATTTTTTTCTCTGCAGAAAGAAAATAAAAAATAAAAAAATCTTACTCACACTCACTTAATCTCAACCATACAAATGCTTTCAGTGCTCAGAAATAACCAGAGAAAGTCCCAGCCATAAACACGGTGTCATATGCTTTCGTGCAGCAATATTTATATGAAATCTGGCACAGGATATCTATAACCTTCAAACTTACCAAAGTCAAATTGATAAATAGAATAATGATGAGGTAAAGAGTTAAAGTTATAGGAAAAAAAATCAATTCAGTGACTGACACAGAGCATAAAGACAGTGAATGGTCATAAGACATGTTCTGTTGATTTTCATTGTAAAAAATTAGTTATTTTCAATATAAACTTGTAAAATATGTCATTTTCAGCTAAATTTTATGCATAATTTCTATTCAATTGATAAGTCTCATATATATATATATATATATATATATACATATATACACACACACACACACACATTGTATACATTTTAAATACAGTAAATACAGTAATTGTGTATTAAAATGTGCAGAAGTTTGTTCTCTGTAGAGGATGTTTTAACTAAAGATTCCAAATGGAGTTTCTGTCAGAGAGGAAAATGTCACAAAACAGTTCCCTAACTATGAACTTACAATAACATTCAAAAGTTTGCAGGCAATGTTATCAACAATATAAAACTGAATTTGCCAGTAGACAAACTCTACTATGTGCTTCCTGTTCAAATCCACAGGTATTAATAAATAGCAGGACACTGTAAATAAAAATGATGAAATGTTAGATGTGTCCAGAATGATGATGAGACCTGTAGATGATTTTAACATGACTGAAAAAGATGTATAACATTAGAATTAAACTCCAGAACTCATCATATTTTAAAAGTGTAGATCAATCTCAAGCATTAGTCAAGCTAATTTGGAAAGAAAAACAAATAAAGTAAATAGATCGTTATAGTAGGGGTGGGCGATACAGCGAAAATAATCATGTTACGATATTTAACAACATTTTCATGATGCATGATACTTATCGCAATATACTGACACAGTCACAATGCACTAGTAATAGTAGACAACATTTGACAATCCATTAAACAGTCCTAAATATACTCTCTCTGTAACATGCAGGATGCAGGTGGTCAGTGTTTTTTCAGTACAGACAATATCCAGGATATGATCAGTAATGCATATTGTTTATTCACAATAAAGTTTATCATAATAATTTATAATAATAAAATAGTGTTATATTGCCTTCCTTTAAATTACAGTTAATTTTTTTTTTTAATTCACTTCTTGTTCACATAATTTAAACAATACTGTAGAAACCTTCTAAAATATCTCTTGGTGAATAGTTTGCAAATGGAAGTCCACATTGTATAAGTCACTTTTGTATAAAAAATATATTGTTATTAACGTTGTTCTTGTTATTACCATTTCAGCTTTTATAACGGAAGGTTTCAAAGAAGCAAAGCTCACTAGCAAAGCACCATGCTTACTCATTAGCACTGTTCATTTGACACAGGTCTAAAACAGACTAAGCTCTCTTACCATACATCTTGCCCTCGTCTGAAAGGATGATTTTGCGGCGGCCGCAGGGTGGGTATATCGCTAGGGCCTCCTGGAAGCTCTGCTCGATGTCGGGGCTCCACACGCCCTCAGCATCTCCGTCCATGGTCTTGTCCAGCTCATCGCTCCCATCCTCCAGCCCCTGCTGCGGGCTACCATTCGCACTCCACTCGTTCGACGCAATGATGCCGGCTCTTACCGGGCCCTGCCACGAGCCCACACACTACACAGGTACTGCAGAGAGAGATGAAACAACTGTCATCATTTAGGAAAGCAAAGATGCACTGATGCATCATGGACTCACACATCAACTATGAATTTAACAGAATCAACTATGTATTTAATGATTATTATTAGTCGACATTCTACTACAATTTTTTTTTTTTGGGATTTTAACCCAATTATCTCACCAATTTAGTCGTCGCCAATTCCACCCGCTAGTTAGGACTCCCCCAATCACACGATACTATCAATGCTAGGAGGGCGAAGGCTAACACAGGCTTCCTCCGAGACCTGTGAAGCCAACCACCGTTTCTTTTCGAACTGCCGCTCACGCGACGTCATTGGACAGCTGAACGCGCTCGGAAGAAAGCGCCAACCGCCAGATCGCCAGCTAACAGATGCCTGTGCTGACTAGCATCGCGTTAAGTGATGGGGGAAGAAGGAGGGGCCATCCTACCCACCCAGAGAGAGCGAGGCCAATTGTGCTCTCTTGGACTCCCGGCTACGGATGGCTGTAGGACATTTTGCTACAATTTAAATAGTTTCCGCAGACACACTTGTGTACCCCAGGGTTTCACTGCACATTTAAAAATCATTCTGAAACATATTCAAATTTCATGATGCAGCCAAGTGACTCCTAAATATATCACAGCAAAAATAAATCAGAAATTTATAGTCAATATATAAACTATGCTGCAAAAACAGCTCGTTTTGCATTCATCGTTTCTGTGATGTCACAAGGACCAGCTCTTTTACATATATCCACCTATTAATCCTACAGCAGTTTAGCTCTTCATATTTTTCACTGTAACTTGGTGATATATCATACAAATACAAAGTTATCTATATAATCTGATTCAGCACAAACGTAGCTTTTCAATAATACAAAATTGCAATGCAAAAATGAACAGAAGAAAAAATATTGAATACATAACAAATAACATTCAAATATTTTAAGAACTTACAAAAAAGCCAGTGGAAGCCTCTGTTGTCTATATGTACAGGTCTATAAGCACTGCTCTCAGCACTGGCAGTAGGTGTTTTTTTTTCCTGCTCTTATTGTTGATATGTATTGCTGTCTAGTTGTATAGAGTTACATCACATTCCGAACATTTCTTGTCATCATTGCCTTAGAAAAGCATTTGTAGCATTTCAGCAGCCATCTTTTGTTTTTCCTAAGTCTGCAAAAAGTTTTCAAAACTCATGCCGGAGTCGGCTAGTCGCGTTTGAACCCACTAGCACTGTGTCTGCAGTCACGTTTTCAAAACAAATCCACAGTGGAGTGGGAGGATATCTAAAGCTTTGAGTGGATCTGCTCGATGGTGTATTTAATCCTCTGATCGACTACCAAGCAATGCAGCAACAACAAAAAAGAAAACTTGCAGGAAAAATCCCTGCTGAACACTGATCTGTATACATTGCGATATAATGGGCTGGAAATACAGATGACTCTGTAGAAGTTGTGTATATCAGGCCTGGAATGAAAACAACCTATTAGCTGGAATACATAAATCTTCTTATAACTACAAGATAAATAAAGCAAGTCAAAGTTACACACAAAATCCAAACCTAATACGTTTACAACAGCACTGATTCAAATTCACAGCACTGCAGATGCCTATAAATTTGCAGGCATTACAGTTCATTTCTAATTGACTCATAAACGGACGCGTATAAACAACCCAAATCCTGACTGCTCTTACGACTTCCTCAGCACTAACGTCCTCCAAATGACAAACGAATTTCTGACATTATATAAAACCCCATTTAAAAAGGCCTCAATAATCAGGCCAGGCCTGAAAGAATGCCTGTGGTCGGGAAAGAGCGGTCCAATGTGGCTGTCGAAACGTCTGAAACTGGTTAAGAGATCTTAAGTGTTTTTCAGGCTGCCTCTCTTTGCGTGGTATTGTTCCCGAGGACTCGGTCCCAGGAGTGACTATTATACCCACATAATTCATTCTTTTATTTCACTTTCTGCTGATGCTGACTAAAATACGCTGCTTGGGTAAATATGGCCGACTCGGCACGTGACCTTCCTGGGGGGATACTCAAAACGCTCTGGTTACGGCCACGCTGAAAGAATAAGCTTTGCTTGGCAGGCCGAGAGAGAGAACGAGCAAAACAACCCCGAAACCGAGAGTCCGCCTGGAATGGGAGCAGTCTAATTGCAGATGCAGGCTATGATGCAGTCTAAAATTACAGTGAGATTAATTAGTGATACAATGAGGCGATTCCAAGACACGGTGATGTCTACTGGTGAGAAGCTTACTTGATGTCTGATTTGACAGCAGATACCAGAAGTCACTGTGTGTTACATATAAGTGCACAAGACTTGACTGTACTAGAGTAAAAAGGTCAAACGAAAGTGAAGGATTAAAAGATGACTGTCTTTGACCATATCATTATTGTGAGAGGGGAGTGGTCAGGTTTATGTTTGGTGATCAAAGCCATGAGAAAATGAGCTAGGCCTAATGACCAATGGGATGACCAAGGCTGCACAGAGTTTAAAGAGAGGTAAAAATGGGCTTTGCATTCCCCAGGGATGGCCCAAATTTGGCTTGGTGGAGTACAGGAGGTAAACCTAAGCCCTGCACATGCAGAGTGATGGTGCTAAACCTTCAGGCTGACTTCTGGAAGAATTTAAGCAGAGCTACCTTTCAGCAGTTTGGTGTGTGTGTGTGTGTGTGTGTTTGTGTGCAAATACATACACATACACACACAGAAAAAAAAGTCATACACAGCAGCCTCAGATCCTTAAAGACACTGAGAAGAGGAAGCACACACACACACACACACACACACACACACACACACAAGACAAGCTGTAAAATATCCTAAACAATGTACAGTTACAGTCTTACTATGTTAATGTGCTAAAACATGGTGAAATATTCTTAATATGCTGACCTTGTGGAACACACAGTGACACATTTCATGTGTATATGAAACATATGATCACTTGTAGAGGTATAGCAATGCATTCACGATACTCGGTTCACGATTTCGTATTCACAATATTTTGAGCAAATGAAAAATAATGACTATAAATGTTAGATTATTCACAGCATGGCACAGTGAGATAACAAGGTCAAAATGCACTGTTACACACCTAATAACTAGTGCAGTACAGGGGCCAGTCCCACAGACCCAGATTAAACCTAGGCCTGGACTAATAAGAATTACCATTTGAGAATCACCACTGGCACTGCAATTAAAGGGCCCATTTCCTTCTTGTATTTTATGATTTCCTATAAGGTCAACTTTTATGAGTTTTACATGACGCTTTTGCAAACTCTCTTCATCCCCTTAGAATTAAACAGGCTGTTTATATTACTGTGCCTTTAACATTGATATATGTTAACATCTGCTCATGTAGCCTTTGCTGTGCTTCATTCAAAAAGAAGCTCAGGCTTAAATACTTTATATAACTTCAACATGAATGCTTTGCTCTAGAAATGACACCTTAATCTTAGAATTATTCAAAGTGAACTTCAATTAATAATATTACTCTAATTATAGGATACTGCGATTATAGGATATCAACTAAAGGCAAGTTTAACAGCCACAAAAAGCACAAAGCAAAACATAGTTTGTATGGAATATTTCAGTTAACAAAGCGAAACGTTGTGAGAATTATTATACCATTATATAACAAATCTGATGCTATATTTTTGTCATGTTGCCACCTCAACTTGTGTGTAACCCTAAACATGGTGTTTATTACCGCCCTGCTTCACCTCCCCCTCCATTCTTGTTGTGAAAAGCAATAAAAAGTTAAAAAAAAACAAAAACAAAAAAAAAACAAAAACGACAAAAACAACAAAAAAAAACAGGATATCTAGGGGTGGACAACCTGATAATATATTGTTATTGTGAAAAAACTTTCACAATATGCTTTTCTGAGCATATCATGGACACTGTCAGTACTTAAATAACACTAAGTACATGTTTCATTACAAAGAGAGCATAAGTAGGGCTGTTTAATTAGATTTAGTGCCGTGCAGATTGTAAAACACTGAATAACAATTTCTGTAGTTGTAGATTTCTTATTATAATCTTAGTGTTTTTTATCTGTGGCACTACAGGTTCTATTTTGTCTGTTCCAACTTACTAAATCCCAAAAAAAGCCAAATATTGTGATGCATATCATGCATCGTGAAAATGTCAAAGTATCGCGATATAATATTTTTGCCATATCTCCCACTCCTAAGCATATCAGTGTTTTGCTTTTTTTTTGTTTGGTTAAAACTGAGCTGTAAATTGCCCTAATTGTTTTCTCACTCTGTACTCTTCAATGAAAAGTTTGAACAAATTAATGGCATGATGATACTACATAATCCTAGCATACAGTACACAGAGATAATAATCTCTGTAGTGACTTCTGTGACTCAGCCAAGGCCAGATATTCTTCTCAATAACCTCTGTAGTGTATGTGTGTCAGGGAGGGAGAGAGGGAAGGATATTGAGAGGGGGGCGCATGTAGAAGAGAAGCCGCTCTATTGGAGAGTTGGGCTTAAATTCCAGACATCTCCTTATTAAGGAAGCACGGCCTGAGCTCTCTCTCTCTTTCTCTCTCAGCACCCTCCCTCTCTGCCCTCTTCCCCACCCCAGCCCAGTCGCCCCACGCTCCCAAGCACTCTGCCCAAATAAGGAGAGGAGAACATGGGATGAGGGGAGGGGAGCAAACAGAGGAAAGGAAGAGTGCGTGTGTGTGTGTGTGTGCGTTGAGTAGGGGGTGGTGTGGAGGGAGAGGAGGGGAAGGGTGGACTGACCAATTTAGGCGTCCACTCTGGGGTCTGGAAAACAGTGGGATTGTTCCTGTTGCAATGCAACAGCACACATACACTGTCTCTGGAAGAGTGCTAAAGCTAACGCTAACTGTTAAATATACAGGGCTTTGGACTAGAGTCAGGAAAAAAGCATGACTTTCGAGCACTGCTGTATCACGATAGTGACCAGCATCCCGGGGGGAGTACAACGAAACACTCCGTTGCAAAACACCATGACGAAAT